CCCATCCGATACAAATATCTTGGCAGTGTATCTGTACGTCTTTGAAGTAGGTCTTTGTGTCAAAATCATTGCAACCAATATATATATACATTTTTCGTAGATAACAAAGCATAGATTACATAGTGCTCGGTAGCCTTTCAGCTCTTAATAGCACCTCAAGCCATTCAATGCCATGCCATGCAAAAGATAAAGAGAGAGAGAGAGAGAGAGAGTTGTCTTCCCTAAGTGAAGCCTTGCTATTCATTAATTATTCACTTTTATTTTTCTTGAAATCTGACAGAATTAGAGGCCGTTATATATATATATATATATATTTAGTATCAGCCGCATATACATTATCCTTTGTGAGTGCCATTAAAGTTTGAAAATATAATATCTCACGGTTAAAAGTACACTTAATCAAGGAGGCACTCATGGCTCGAGTCGTGGTTAGTGACTGTGCATACATAGGAGGAGTCGTATACAACTGGGTAAACGAACTTTCTGGGAGCCGTATATTCGACTCACTCAATAAGTCAGGAGTCAATCGCTCGTATGGAGGTCGTACAATGATTTATGCCAGGTACGACTGCATGCATATGTAAACAATGACTCCTTTAAATCCGCAGGAGTCATTGTTTGGTACACATCCGACTCGCGGTGAGTCGTTTCTGTAATAAAATTCCTTTGATACCGAGTCCAACTCGTTTTCGGAGTCAGAGTCATCGGTGCTTCCCCGCACTTGATTCATACATAACCAATCTCTAAAAAAAAAAAAAAAGAAAAGAAAAAGATTATCTTAAAGAAATCATTTAGACAAATCTTTATTAAAAGTTGAAGTATGAAAAACTTAATTCTATAACTTTAAGTTTACTTGATATATATATATCTTTTGCTAACTTAACTTGATACCTCACACTCATTACGTCCTTACTCTACTTACAACAACAGACTTTTTTTTTAATATATATATATATATATATATTTGGGAATACTTTTTTAGGGAGTGTTGTATGATACATCGATACGAAATTGAACATTGTGTCCTACAAAAACACGCGTTGATGAGACTATTTTTTTTTCTTTTTCTTTTTTTTTAGCGAGCTAAGACCCCCAGCAAAAAAAAAAAAAAGAAGTATGAATTTTGAAAAAAAAAAAAAAAAAAAAAAAAAAAAAAAAAAAAAAAAAAAAAAAAAATTTAAAAGTTTTGTTAGTGACACGAAAAAACAAAGGGGGGGGGGCGTAATTTACCCTATAGCTCTCTGTTTTTGTTTGAAACACAGGTGGTACAAAGTATAAGGAGTGGATATAAAAAAAAAAAAAAAAAAAGTTGCCTAGATCGAAGGGAATAGGGGAATTTTACGTCAGACGAAGTGATGACCTGACGTTCGATCAGAGAGGAATAAAAAAAAAACTAGCGAGAGTCGGTTTCGATCCGACGACCTCTGGGTTTCATATGGTCAGATCACGTGACGCATATGAGCCCAGCGCGCTACCAGCTGCGCCATCTCGCTTATAAATTATTTCCCCAAATTATTACTCCAAAAAACATCATCCTTAGGTACGCATTGCCCATCTTCTGGATCGTGGCAAATTTATTCAAGATGAACAAAAATTCATGACAGTTCAAGAAAGCAAGTGGTTCTATCAAATACATGGTTTTCCGAGGTGGTGGTTCAATGCTTTTTTTTTTTTTTTTAGAATTAAAATCTTTTGAGTGCGTTAGCTCCCCTATAAGGGTACAAACAACACTAAGTAACATGGGTATGCTTAAACTTGACAAAAATGTCAATACACATGTGACATAAAAGGCTATTGGGTTTTTCTTTCATCTGCCTTTGAAATGCTTAAGATATTTTGGCCCCGTATATGTAGCCTTATGATAGGAAGAACAGAAGGTTTTAATTTAGAGACAACCAGTTGCTAGGGTCTGACTGGACAAAGACTTACTCCTAATTTTTTTGTTTTTCAAATTCAAATTTGGATTTGGTGAGCGTGAATATATTTTGTCATCGAGATGTCAGCCATTACCTTGATCGCCAACCTCTGCTTCTCACTAACAGCTTACCAACTCACCAGTACCCTCATCCCACTCCTCGCACCTACCCTCATCTCGGCTGGTCTGAAGGGAAAAGACTTACTCAAACGTCAATCGACCGGCGGCGGTGGCTTCCCTGCCAACACCCTTACCTCAACATCCAAGAATGCCGCTGTCCTCAAGTCTCAACAGTCCGACCCATCTACCAAAGAAGCTAACGCATCTGAATTCATGTACGGACATCTTACCTTCTCCTTGCTGGTTTTATTTTATTGGCTGACTGTGTCTCATTTGAATGTTTTGGACTCTTGACTGGGGATCTGACCCATTGCTGGTATCTGTGACAGGACAGACCCGAATCAACTGGTCTGATTGCCGGCAGTATCTACGTTCTTGTCCTTTCCGTCTTCGTCCCACTGCCCTACTATACCCATTTCCTTTACGGCCCTGAAGCTCCTGGATCGACCGCCTTCTCGAGTGTAGCTGAACAGCATCCCGGTCAACTTCCCCGTATCTCGAATGTGCCCTTCCCACATTCAAGTCTTAGTGCCAGTCTGGCTAGCATACTCTCCCTCCTTACGGCCGTCTTCTTAGGATTCCTGGATGATGTCTTCGATATCCGATGGAGGTTCAAGTTGCCAATTCCTGGTCAGTCTTTGCTGCTTCGCTTATGGGACACATGTGCCACGTGGACCCGTGAAATCGTTCATTGGGTCCTTCCTACATCAATACTGACGAATGGGGTTTTTCTATTCAGTAATTTCATCAGTACCACTTTTGACAACCTATGCGGCTGCTTCAGGAGCCACGGACATCATCATTCCTCGCATCTTTGGTCTCAGAAGCTTATTTAGAGTCGAGGCTACCCATGGATTGCTCAGCATAGGCGAGTCTCTCCATTTTTGTCCCACCCTTTCGGCGTACTCTTGCTAGAGCTCTTCCTCTCTCCTTATAGGCCCGCTTTATTACCTTTACATGTCCATGCTCTCAACCTTTTGTACCAATAGCATAAACATACTCGCAGGCGTCAATGGGGTCGAAGTTGGCCAGTCAATTGTCATCTGCCTCTCAATCATCTTTAATGATCTGCTATACATCAAGCTCGATCTTCAAGACTTTGGGATTCAAAAACAGTACAGTCTCGGACTCTCGCGCGGGAGTCAGCAGTTGGAAGACCGTCACTTGTTTTCATTTTGTTTGATGTGCCCGTTGTTGGCAGTGATGTTGGCGCTGATTAAGTACAATTGGTAAGTGACAGAGACCAAATTTGATTGCATTGAAGCCGATCGTTTCCGCGTGGTTCCGCAAGGCATTGGATACAGCTCATACGTTTATGTTTACACCTCACCAGGTACCCTGCACGAACTTTCGTCGGTGACACTTTTTGTTACTTCGCAGGCATGGCATTTGCCGTCGTCGGTATTCTTGGTCATTTCTCAAAAACTGTGTTACTCTTCTTCATCCCCCAAATCCTCAACTTTCTTTATTCTTGTCCTCAACTTTTCGGCCTCATCCCGATCCCTCGACACCGACTCCCAGCCCGGGACCCGTCTACAAACCTCCTTCGACCCTCAATGGTCCACTTCATCCAACCCTGCCGCGCTGGCCGCGGGCTGTTGGCCGCTGAATCGCTTGGGTTGGTACGCTTGCTTAAGAACAAAGAGGGGAAAGTGATTGGGTGCTCGAACTTGACAGTTCTCAACTTGTTGTTAATTTGGTGTGGAGAGATGCGCGAGGATAGGTTGACGATGGTAGTGATGGGCTTTCAGGTGCTCGGTAGTCTGATAGGGTTTGGCATCCGGTACGGGATGTCAGGCTTGTTTTATGATCTATCATTAAGGAGATGAACCGCTTTCTCATCTGTGCATAATGACACCATCTGGGTTGGATATGTCCTGAACGTACATGATCTTTTTTGCCCATGTTTCTTCAATGTTTTTTTTTTTTTTTTTTTTTTACATTCGCGCGCCAGCCCCCTCTCGCCTCTTTCAATAGCATACGTGGACGTATTTGATAAACTCAGCTAGAGAAAATGGAGATGTAGTGGATGCGAACTATCTACATTATTTAGCAAGTCTATTTGCAACGGCCCATAACTCAAGCGATTCTCTTTGCAGCTCCTCAGACAAGAGTGGAATTAGCCCTAGAAGTGTTTTCCGAGTTACCCATCTTTTCAATTCGTTGAGAGGGTGTCAAGTTTCCCGCTTTGTAGTGTCATTCATGACGTGGAATGCATATAGTGTAGTGTATACATAGGCAAAATAGACGCTCACTCTACGAATTCGCAAAAAGTCGTGACCGCTTTGAACAATGCTACTTAAATATCATGCTTGGCTTGCAAAGGTTTGGCGTCCTACATAAATGGGGATTGAGGCAAGCTGCCGATCAAGGGAGAACAATCAATTGAGAAGGCAAGGTGAGTTGGCTTTAGGAAAAATTGCTGAAGCGAACCCGTTCACATCACGATCCAATGAATCACTACTTTTGACTAAAAGGATGAAGACATCTAACAATCTGCCAAAGTTACATAGGTACTTACTTCCAAATTTAGTCTTATGAGGTCTCAACACTTTTTTTTTTTTTTTTTTGAAGCTTTCCTTTGGTTTTTTCCTAAATGAGAAAAAAAAAAAAAAAAAAAAAGTGCTCACTTTAAGTACAGTTATACTCCTTTTTGTGCGTTATGTATATAACCCTTGAAGGAAGGCCTTTGGATGATGGTAAAGTGACGCAAGTGATTTACTTAAAAGACTCCAGGATATATATGTATATATAACAGTGAACGTCTTCCGCCTCAAATTCGTTACGTGCTATCGTTTGTAACGCTATGAATTTTATATATTATAGGCTTGTGATGAACTGATTCCGCCGTGTAAGTACCGTTCCTTCGATGCCGTGAGATGTGATAAATTTTTACGCTGTGCCCATGTACTACTTAATATATTATACACCTGATGATGACGGCGGCAAAACCTGACATCAAGAACTTTTTTTTTTTTTTCTTTAAAAAAAAAAAAAACTTAAATCGTCTGTACTGAAATCTTACTAATTTTGAGTTTTGAAAATGATTGTCATTTCAGTTCGTGTTATGTATATTACGACATGAAACGCGAGAAAAGGTCGAATGTCGAGTTAAGTATGTATTATGCCCTATGACTTAATTTAAGTCCCTCGAACTGGAAAGTCATCCCGACGGTGGACAGGTCACCCACCACCTCTTAGTTTTTAGACCGGTGGGCTTGTGTTAAGTTAAAGTTGTGCCTGGCTGAACTGGTGAGTTTTAACTCTAGAACCTTAGAGCCTTTGATATGATGTATCAGAGCTTTAATGAATGGCGTGTCTATTTCTCTGAAAAAATATTCGGCTTGCGTCGCTCCATGAATGGCCTTATCATTGAGTTTTAAGGAAGTGATAGAAGCTTCACCAGGGAATTGATAAGAGCCAGACAACTTTTTTTCTAACTCTTTTTTTTCATTTGAGTTCGTGAATTTGGATATTTTCAAGAAACACCTCTTCTTTTTTGTTTCTAGAAAACAGGGTATAGACCGTAAAATAACATGAACAATATATTGGCGCATACCGTTCGATAATGATGGTTGGCACTTCCCCCCCCCCCCCCCCCCCAAAAAAAAATGAGACGGGGAAATGGGTGAGAATCTACTTAGCTCATCATTGTACCTGACAAAGTAAAGAACTGTACGATTTGACAATTAGATAAATGGTAAAAAAAAAAAAAATCAGAAAAACAAGGTGGCAGCGATTATAGGGGAATACATTCACAAATGAAGGCTGATATTCGAAAGTTGGATTATATTCTATGATAAGAAATATCATTTTGAAAAATAAATAAATGAGACAATTTGACCAAGAAGACTGAAATGCTTTAGAGAAATCGCGCAACACAATTGAAGATTCAAGGGTCGGAAGGGGACTAAGGATTTTCACACCATTTCTCTATGCTTTGATCGTTTCTGAGTCTGGTAGTACTGGATCAGGATTGATAGTCATAAAGTTTGAGAGAGGTCTTGAAAAATCCTTTCTTGCAATTGAGTTGTCAAGCTGTTTGATTCGTGAATGATGGAACGTGATCTCCAGAATCAAAAATCTGATGTCACAGTCTTTAAAAATACCGTATTATTTTCGTTCACAATTCGAGGTTTTTCTGGAATCCGTCAACTGAAGCCTATCAAGCAAAAGCTCCATAGAACTTTCATCAGGAACTTCTTGATATAGGCCAACGTATTGAGGCGCATCGACCACAACCTCCGTGGTTTCCTCGGTCTGGATTTCTTGGGATGGTGCACCAGGATCTGGGATCAGTGATGGGAAGAAAAAAAATGTGAAGGTGATCACAAATTCGATAATCCGTTCAAGGGTCTCAGCGTTGTATGAGATCCAATCTTGGTGTTTAAATTGGCCGTCATTCACCCAGATATCCCAAAATCGTTCCCCGATCGATTTCCAGTATTTGGAGTACTC